CTCCTTATTTCTCAATACGAAGTCTAATAGATTTTACCTTCACTCTATTGCTTACATTTGACCCCTTCCTCAAATAAAATCAGGATAATAACATCTGCTTCACCTCATAGGCAATCAAGTTACATGTGAAAGTATTTCCAATACTGTAAAATACTATAGGTATATAAAAGTTTATCACTAGACTGTCAGCTAAGAGTAGTGATTTAAAGAAAAGAACTTATTAATAATAAAGACTGTGATGGGCCATCAGAGACATGAGCTGAAGGGATTACTGTGATTCTTGAGGATTCTTTGCCTACCTGTATGAACACCCATTGCATCCACATTTTCCATGTTGCAGACAGTGACACAATTGTCATTAGAATCTCGGACCACTTCATATTCTATTTCTTTCCATCCTGTCACTGACCTCTCCACCAGGATCTGGTTGGTCATAGCAAAGGCCTGAAAATTGGTGACAAAAGATATCAGAGTAAGAAAAGGCACTGATTTAAACATGATGCTCTGCAAGATGCCCTGGCCTATATCCTGGTCAGTACTGAGGTCTCCAACCTAGTCTCCATCCTCCTCTACTCTCCAGAAGGCACGATGTGTCAGAAAATCAGCGCAGTACCAGGAATAGCATCCTGCAGTGAATATGCTTGATTTACATTATTGAGGCTTGCCATTCCAAGTGCTGATATGACATTAAATCAAACTAATTTAGGAAAAAGAGAAAATAATTGAGCAATCAGGCAGAGGGAAATGAAATTATTTCAGCAGCTAGGCTTCTGTGAAACCAGAAAATGTGATAAGTGTGAATAAATATAGAAAAATAAGTCTAAAGACTGGCTTTCTCTGAAATAGCTGAGGGTGCTTCATACAGTGACATTCACAATAAAAGTCAGTTGCTGTTGATGAGGAGAAGAAAGGAGATGATGATGGTTCTAAACACTTAGCCAGGATGGCATATGAAACTTGGGAATTAGAAGAATCATATGCGACTATTATTATGGTTAATCACTGACTAAGTGCTTAAGTACCCTGAGTCATATATCATGCATGCCTGATTAAACAGATATGAATTAGTATAATTATCATTTCATATTTACCGAGTACCCACCGGTAGGTAGAACCAAACTCACAATATGAAAGAGGCAGTCTCTGACCTTATGATATTTAGCAGCTGAAAATCCAAGACAGAAATGTCCCTTATTTCTTAATATAGTTGATTTGCAATGGCAGTGAAAAGAAGAGAATGCAACCGGGGAAAGTAATTTAAATTTTGTTCAAATTTTTGCAGGTAGTAAGATGAAATAATTCAGTACAAGCATTTTTCATAATGTGTCTCAACACTATTTTTTTTTCACCTCAGTCAACACCACAGGCTCCAGCATGTGCAACTGCAAATGTAACACGTGAGTCCCCACAGCTGCCCATGATGGGTTTTCAAAGTGGTTAGAAAACTCTGCAGCCAGTGTTAACAATTTAATAATGATTAATTTGTCATTAGAATTGCCTGCTAAAAGAAGAAATCTGGGAAACAAAGGGTATGAATTTGGGAAAGCTTTCTGCATTCTAATGGAGTAGACTGGACATTTGGGCACAAGCACAATTGAGATCATCTTCACCTGTTGCCTCAGCTGCTTTTTTTTTTTTT